AAGATACGATAGGCAGATCGACCATGAGTATGGCTAGGACATGACGCCACGTCATGTCATATAATTCAATACAATACCCCCATGAAGGCACTTGCTTGCCTGGACTTGAATTTATTCGGATGGACGTGAACCCATGCGGGAGTTGAATCCGTACGGTTTCTCGTCTGCCTTTGGCAGATATGGTTTCAAAGGTCTTTCCCCCCAGACCTGGTAGAACATCACCTAGGCAACGGCAGCCTCCGTTACAGCAAACTCGTCCTTGTCCGAGTCCAGCACCGCCGTGGCGTCCATGGGCAACGTGACCATCGGCGCAGTGTGCCCGAAATCCACATTCATCAGGATGGGAAACCTTTTCGCGGCCAGACGGCCATGGCAGAGCAGCCCCTTGAACACGGCCGCATACTCCTCCCTGGCCCGGGTGGAGTCGTACCCGTAGGGCCGCCCGATCACCAGGCCGGCGATCTCGTCAAAAACGCCCCGGGCAGCCAGGTCTGCGACGGCCTGTCTGACCTTGCCCAGCGGGCTCCCCTTGGTCAGGTCGCCTTCGGCCATGGCGGACTCGAGGAAGAGGATCCTGCCGTTCCAGTCCGGGGATATCTGCGGGATGCCCTGGATGCGCGCCACGACGGTCAGGCAGCCGCCAAAGAGCCGGCCCTCTGCGCGCCCCGGACGGAGCCAGGTCCAGGCGGGGGAGGGGAGGACCTGCCGGGGTGCTGGTGCTGTTGCGGCCTGGGAGGAGGAGGAGGAGAAGGAGAGGAAGTAGGGCGGGAGCAGCGGGGCGTACACCCTTGAGCGGGGAACGGGGCCGAAGGGTCTGTCAGGGTGGGAGGTCGCGGCGAGGAGGTTTGCGAGGTGGAAGTCCTGGAGGTAGCCGTCGTCATCTGTTCCTTCTGTGCTGTGCATTTTCCCAACGTCAGGGAAGGCGGCGATGGATGCGGGAGTCGATCTGACGGCCTCGCCGAGCTCTGTCACTGGGCAAGGACCGTAGAACGTCCGTAGGCCGGTCAGGGCGTGGAGAGACCAGTGCAGCACCGTGTTGTCGGAGTATCCGACGACGATCTTGGGGTTCCTCTTGACCAGCTCGTGGAGCTCCGTGTCTTGGACCAGGTAGGGAATGAGCTCCGTCATGGTAGACCCGCCGATGGTGCAGAAGACGGCGTCGATGGAGGAGTCGCTGAAGGCGGCGCGGAGCTCGGCCAGGCGGTTTCTGATGCAGGCGACGATCGGCTCGCCGTCGGTTGAGACCAGGTCGGCATCTTCGCCTTCGTTGATGAAGAAAGCTGTGACGGAGTAGCCGAGGGACTCGAGGAGGGCTATGGAGCGGGCGACGGCTGTGGGTATGAGATTGTTGATGCGGGAGGACGGCGAGACGAAGGCGATTTTGGCATTGGGGTGTAGGGCCTTTGGGATAATTGTCGGAGGCATCTTGGCAGTCAGTTCGAGTGAAATGCTTTTTGGCTGTCAGAGACGATGCAGGATAAGTGGCATGTGGTTGACCGCAAGGTCTGGGACGATCACACATGTGACGGGGTCCATATGAAAAGAGGAGTCAATTGAATTAGAAAGGTGCTGATTTTAAGCAATGCCGCCCGCGTCAACGGTTCACGGTAGTTTGCTCACCAAAGTCTCTAGTCTTCCTGGGAGTGGCTCTTTCAGCCTGCGACGAGTGAACTACAAGTTGCGCAATCTGCATCTTATGGAGTCTTGTTAAGGCAGAAAGTCTATCCCGCACACAGATCGTTATGCCGAAGGGGCTATCGGAAAACCGGGTCGGGTACGGCCCCATATCCCGGCCCGACCTTAACGGCGTCCGGCCCGGAGGCCCGCAATTGACCTCTCTCGCAGTACAAATCGGACCTACAACGCGTCCGACGGTACCTTAGTCTGGTGATGGCCATAGCCTTTGAGTACCCTTTAATCGCCTATCACCTTCCATATATCTCCTTGCAGATATCCGTATCTAGATTCCTGTCCTGCCTTTCGTACATGCATGGTGGCTTAGCGCCTCTTGAGATCTTGGTGACTTTTGAGAACAGTGACTCTCGTCGGCGAGCAAAGCTTCTTCTGTTTATTATGACACACACCACAGAGTCAAAAGCTTCATGTGCCGTGGCCTGCGACACCACTATGGCTTCTACCTGCGTTGTAACAGACCGTGCAATCTAAGCATAACGCCACGAAAAACCTTGGCATTCGAACGTAGGCTGGAACATGATGCGGATTCTTAGAGATCCACAGTTTCAGCCCCAGGCGAGTCTTTTATTCTCATGATTTAGGCTTCGAGGTGCATCGAAGGGAAATCTTTAGAAGTGTCGTAGTGTAGAGCATCATTTCATTCGACCGAACCGAGTCCGAACCGAACCACATGTAATAGTTCGGTCATACAGGGGCGTACCACTCGGACTGCGCCTCCTTGGCCAACACAAAGGGTGGTTGACTGAGGGGTAACGCTGTTGGATGTTATTGGAGGAGATCATGACTGTTACTTTCCTACGTGCTTGCATTGCCTTGGAGGAGGGTCTCCCCATGCCTCATCAGGGTCTCGCGCGCCAAAACCACCTAATTTCCGTAGACAGTGAGACCATGCTCGATCAGCCAGTCCATGCCCTCTTTTCTCCAGTCATCCGTCTCGACCTCGGTTCCATTAATTCCGAAGACGAGGTCGCTCCCAGAGCCACTGACGGTCTCGTAGATAGGCCAAGAAGCTAGCTCAGGGGCGCCATTGGGATCAAGGCCAGCGAAGAAATTGATCCAGGCCGAGTTCATTGTCTTGGCAAGACTTGTGGCCTTTTCAGTGTACGCGGTGTCATTGCCACCGAATGGGTTTACATCATAGCCGTCGCCATTGAGGTTGCAGAATACAAAAGCGACCTGTATGCCTTTAGCTTCATGTCCATTTCATGTCCATGTCCGAGGTTCTTGTGCCTCTTCGGAGCTTTCAGGGCGGGAAGCTTAATTCGGTCGAACCCACCTCTACAAAATGAGTAGAGCCGATGAAAGGCGGGTTCCCATTGACCGTGACATCGAAGCGATAGGCATACGAAGGCACATTGTGTGTGGACCAGAAGATGTTGGCCCTCCTCCTCGTGAACTGGAAGGTCCTGCAAGAAAACCGTCAGTGGGACCTTTTGGAGACGGGTCGGGGTTGTGCATACAAATCTCCAAAGAACGCCCCGGTGCGGCGTTGCTGCAAGCCCCGCAACACAGCAATTTCCTCACCAGGTTCAATGATGTGTGGCCACGTTTGCAGGCTGGGGATACCTTGGGCTTGGTCGTTGGGGTAGAGTTTCAAGACTTCCTCAATCAGCTCATCGGCCGACTGGCCGGTAGTCTCCTGGACGCCGCCAGGGATGAAGGTGCCAACTGCATATCGGAAGTCATCATCTGTGTTGACTGTTCCGCCATTGGGTCCACGGCCCTGTCCGAAGGCAGAGCCCTCGTCTGTGTTGCAGCCGATGAGGATGGGGACCTTGACAAAGTCGCCACGTTCAAGCTGGCTGGAGGCGTAGTCCGCAATGAAGTCGCCATCGAGCACAGGCGGAAAAGGGAATGCCGTAACGTTCAAGACAGCGTTGAAATCTTCAAGGGAGGCGGTGCGAAGACACTCAAGCGACTCCTGAGTCCCGACGGTGGAGGCACAAGATGAAATGTTGGTCACAAGGTTGTCCCAGCTGGCTTGATACGCATCTGTGTTGTTGAAGCCGCCTGCCCACCGAGGGATAACGCCGCCGAACCCGGACTCAGCAATGGCGCCTCTAAAGAGGCCATCGTCTCGCCCTATGTAAAGTTAGCCCTATCCAAATCTTCTTGGTTGATCTGCCGGAAGCGAACCGTTGTAAGCCAAGACCTGGGCGGAAACGCTCTCAGCGCCAGAACTCTCGCCAAAGATGGTGACCTTATCCGAAGCTCCGCCAAAGCTCGCAATGTTCTCATTCACCCAGTGTAAAGCCAATCGTTGATCACGGCTGTGGCTCGATTAGAATTCGTCTTGAAAAGGCGGTGTTGAGAATGACATACAAACCCAGGTTTGTGGCGTTAGCATCTACGGCTTCTTTGCCGCCGGGAAAACCGAATACGGAGAGGCGATAGTTCAAGCTGACGCCGATGACTGGAGTACCCTGCTTGACACTGTTCTCGACGATGAAAGAGAGGTTGTAGCGTCTATCGGCGGAGCCACCCATGTACTGTTTTGTGTTAGTGATGAGCGCAGCGGCACAGTGTTGTAGGTGGCAAGGTATATCGTACTAAACCGCCTCCGTGAATCCAGACCGCGACGGGCAGCTGTGCGTCAGGAGATAAACCAGCCGGCCGGATGACGTTAAGGTACAGACAATCTTCCGACTGCTGATACCCGATCATGTCACCGCCGTAGCCAATGCAGTGTGGAGGGTACTCAGTGGCAGAACGAGTGCCATCCCATGCGGAGTCTAGGCTCTCAGAGATGGTGAACCGTTCAGGGGTCTGTAAAGACCATGTTAGATTGATGCTTCAAAGCCGCAGGATCCGCTTGTCCATCACCTTTGCGTAGGGAATCCCGAGGAAGAAGTCCTGATTGTATTCAGCACTGTGGATGCCGGCATAGGAGCCATTCTTGACAGCCACCACCGGGGCCTCATCCCTGTAGCGAATGGAAGCAGAGAAGGCCGGAAGAAGGTAGAGGCAAGATGCCAACAGGTAGGCGGTAAAAACCATGGTCAGAAGCGTGGAGAAGACACTCTTCAGACGTAGAAGTCGATGGGGTTTGCCGCCGGGGAGGGGTGGTTCTGAGAATACGGATAGGGACAGGCCACCAGGGCCGTCGTTACTCTTCTTATAGCTCGATCGATCCATGACGGACATGCTGTGACAAGCATCATTTACTTCCCTCCCGTCGCATCAGCAAGATGCCAAGAAAACGTCAACTAGGATATATCGGACCGAGTGGCATCGGGTCTGTTTACACGACGAGGGGCCTGGGACCTCGAGGAGAAGTGGGCGGTGACAGGCACCGATAGAGGTAGTCAGGCCGGCAGGCAAGGTGCCGTCAAGCGATGAAGTGCATCCTTTTTTCGAGGCATCCCGAGAGGGATTAATAGGGCAAGAAACAACTCCCCGCAAGCAAGAGGGGCCACTTGGTGTGCAATGACGGTGGAACTTCGGCGGTAGTTGAGGAGCGAAGGGGAAGAAGCCAATCGCAAGCACAACAAGGCTAGTAAGGAGTGGTTATGATGGCCTCTTTTGGTGTTATGGGCATGGGTTGACGAGGTAGGGAGTGGATGCCCGGCTGTCATGAGCGGTAGTGAGGCGACGGTTTGGGGAGAAGACATGGAGGCCGATGCGGGGAAACATGGGGTTGGTATGGGGTTTGGGGAATGAAGAAGTGCTGCAGAGCCACACACACCAGAAAAACGTACCGGGCGCGTGGTCATTCTTCCGAATGAATTAGTCAGGTAGGGTAGGCCTCTTCGCTCCCTGTTTCCTTGACCTCCAGGGACTGCGTGCGGTGTTAATGGAACCGCCCAGTCCCAGGTCGGAGCGGGAGCGACGCCGGTCTCGGTGTTCCGCGTCCCGCTGGTCCAGGTCGGGAGGCGTCGGTGCGTGCCCGACAGACACCTTCTTTTTCTTTGCTCGGACGGTCAGTCCAAATGTGGTCGGTCTACTATGTACTTAGTGCTGGAGAGAAGTCTCACCCACATTCCTCGTCGCCCGTCTGCTCAGCCAGCAAAACCATGAACCATGGGTGAGCCATGTGGAAGGCTGGAAATGCGAAAGGAGGGAATGCCGGTGTCTTCCATTGTCTCGCAAGGAAGGTCGTTGCAGATCGCTACCTTTTCCCCACACGAGCCAGATGACGGTTTGGGCACGGATAAAGTGGGTAAGGGGAGCCCCCGTCCGTCGGTGCAGTGTCATTGGCGAATTCCAGCCCCAACAAACGGTGGGGATCCGACTTTCCTTTCCCGTCGCCAATTGTGAACTCTGCTGCAACCTCACCTACCTTACCTTACCTACATAAAGGTATGGAAGGTACTACTCTGTACACTACCGACCGACGGCTGCCCACCGGCTGAAGATACCAAGTACGTGCGTGACCAGATCCCAGGCTCGCACCATACGAGGCTGCTTTCTTCAATAACGGACCGTAGCCGACCAAAGTACGATTGAATGTTTTCTTTTTATTCTCGACCTCTCACTCTGGCTTTGCTTTGCCCGACGCTCGATGCTCGATGCTCGATGCTGGAACACGAAACGCCCGCCATCCTTTCACTTCCCCCTCTTTCTTGCAAACACGCATCAATGTCCTTGTATGGTACCCTGATCCGCCGAATGCATGCTCCCGTCCCCTCCCACCACCGTGTCCAACGCCCGGATTCCCGTCCCCGAACCAGTCCGCAATGTAGTGATCCCATACCTCCAGCTCTTTCTGTTCCCGTCTTCCTCCTCCTGGTTCCCTCGCGGGTATCCATCCCGGTTCCCCCTCCGCGTCTTTCTCCTCCCAGCCACAAACAAACAGCGCCACCGCCAGCAGGACATCAGCCGTATGTATATCATTACATTAATTGAGAAATTGTTTCTGTGGTGTTGTAGGTATCGTCAGAAAGGAAAACGTTGCTGATTAAAAATGAAAGGCTTGCGTATACCAAGGGACGCGCCAGGTATGATGTCTGCCAGTCGCTGAGATCCCATGCGAACACACAAAGTAGAAACGCCGATTTTATAAACAGCTCAACCAGACATCGCTGAGCTGACGACATTCAGTTGCCCGAGTCGCCATCTACTCTCTTTGGAAGTCTTGAGCAGTTATGTTGCTAAACGCGTAATGCCTCGATCTTGTTTGCTCCGGCGAAGGCTTGATCGCCATTGAAGAAGCATCTGACCAATTGTACTCGGCGTTGCCGCCCTCGTACGAAGAGTAAAATGCCGGTCCCATAGCGTTGTGCGGGAACGACGGTGTTACTGGCTGGCTGCCGCAACTCTGGGCGACGTAGGCCGGCACGTTCGTCTGGAGTCCGAATTCGTTGTCGAAGGTGCCAAAGCTGGGAGTGTGTATGGGTTCGTCGGGCACCTGGTACTCGTACGAGAAGAGAGAGCCCGGCATGTTTGTCATCAGCCCCGGGGTGTCAGGTGGCGTCCTCATCGTCGGGTCCATCGCGTACTGGGGAACCGTCAGATTGGTCTGTACGCTGTAGCTCTTGTCATCCTCGGAAGACATGGACGAGACTGTTGCCTCGCGCATGTTCTGCTGCTGAGTGGGCACCACTGGCGTGTTAGGAGTTGGAGGCGCCACCGAGCTTCTGGACACTGGTGAGTGGGCTGCCATTTGCAGGAGAAGGTTTTCCTGGTTCCGATCAAAGCACAGTGGTGATCGCGGCCCCGCGCTAGTTGCTTTTTGGATCCCTCTTGGGAAATTGCCTGTGGCCGACGCAACACGTCGCATCGGGCTCGGTGCTTCTATGCGTCTAGACATCTCAATCCCCGTCTTGGGACCCGAGAGATTGTATGACTGGCTGCGCATACAGCTGACGAGCTGAGCGGGACGCTTGGAATTTCTTCGGCTTGCAATGTCAATCGTGGGGGGCGGCTTGAATCGGAAATCGGTGGTGGGGATTTCTGGTGGGGAATGGGCCATGGATTCCGGGGAAAATTGGTCAAATCCGTTGACACCCTCACTCTGCATCTGCTCCTGCTTGATGTCCATGTGGAGAGAGTCCGCCATCATGTAATGAGATGCCATGCCATGCATGTCAGTGGACCCGGACAGGTGTTGGTACGATGAGGCGCTCGTGGCATCGGCAATCTCTGGCATGAACTGAGGTATTGAGATCGTCAAGCATGGCGCTTGTGAGGTGGCCTCGGAAGGTAGAGACGTCGCAAAGTCGCACGTGTCAGGGAAGAAGTTGTCGGTGGTCAGGGAGTAGCTGATGTTGATTTCTTGGGCCGGGCAATTGGGCGACTCCGGGGAGGTGTATTCTGCTTCGGTCTCTTCCGCTGTCGCGTGCAACATTTCCTCCATTTCCGTCTCGGGTTCGGCTTCCTCGACAGGCGGGCTCGCTGTGACCGAAGTTGTTTCCTCTGATGCCTTCACAGGGGGGAAAGGCGCGGCGGATGGACGGAGATCTTCCTCTTGATCGTTGGAAGCGTAGTACTCCTTGACAGTGTCGGCAGTGGTGTCTCTCGTCTCGGCATCTTGTTCCGACTTTTGACGCTCCTTCTCCTCATTCATTGCGTGCCTTTTCTCCTGCTTCGCTTTTGCCCTTCGGTTTTGGAACCAATTCTGTGACTAGTTAGTTGAAGGTATCTCGCACGGAGGAAGGGCAGTCAAGTACGTTGATTCTTGCGACATCCACTCCCATCTGCTCAGCAAGTTGTTTCTTCGTACTGCTGTTGGGCTTGTTGTTTGCCTGAAACACGCTCTCGAGCTTTTCGACCTCGTCCTTGGCCAGTCTGGGCTTCGTTTCCGTTGCCTTTCCACCAACACCCGGCATCATATGTGAGCCCATCATATTCATATGATTGTACATTTCATTGTGCTCAAAGTTTGGATTTTGATAGTAAAAGTTGGCCGCACAATGCGTGTAGACCGCCGGCGCCGCATACTCGTACTGGTTGAAGTTCTGGTAGTAACTCATTGTTGCTGTCGGGTCGATGTCGATCAAAGCCTGATTGGTGAACAGTCCAAGGGACGTTCGGACGATGTGATAACGGAAGGGGTAGCGAGTGTGGTGAGCAAAGGTGTAGCGAGCACAGGAGGTATCATCGGCTTGTGCGTGTTGATTATGAGATAACGAAAGACGAAGGAGACCCGGAAAGGAGACGCGGGCGGTGCCAGGCTATGGAGCAGAGTGAAAGAGTGACTGGGGGTTAGAGATGGCCGAGGGCCTGGTGATAAAAGAAGATATCAAGAGGCAACGTGGGTGTGATGGAGGCACGGGACTCGGAAGTAGAGATCGAGGGGAGCTTGTCCGCTTTAAGATTGAATGAGGAGGGACAGACGATATAAAGAAGGGTGAGGCAGATCCGGGAAGGGATGAGACAAGAAGGTCTGCTCAAGTCTCCCAAGGCTTGAGGGCGAGATGATGGATCTGTCCAGGCAAGGGCTCGGGAAGGGCACAGACGAGGCTTGAGGAAAGGGTCAAAAAAACAATTACAAGAGGAGCGAGGAGGGGGGTGGTCAAAGAAGTATCATTTGTCTTCTCGACCCATCACGCACACACAAACTCCAGGAGTAGGCGCGGGTGTGGGTTCAGAGCGGCAAGAGGGGAGAGAGGTTCCTCAACCCACTGGGTACTTGCTAGAATCGAGGAGATCATCTTCGGGTGGAGGTGTCGGGAGACCAAGGGAGCAAGGGGGCGTAACCTTTCTGTCTGTCGAGCCCTCATGGCCGGGGCCTGAGAGGAGGGAAGAGAAAGGGGACAGAGGCCGCGAGGGTTGTTCTCCAGGGACCAGGGGCAAGAAGGGACCGGGGTTGACAAGCCAAGGAGACATGGTCAGCAGTGGAGGATATGACAGGGTCCGAGCATTACCAGTGAAGTGCTATGCAGATGCAGCGTGCAGACTGTGCAAACAAAGCTACTACACTAAGTTTATGCAATGCCGGACGACTAGGTTTTCTCGACGGGGACGCAGGGTAGGTACGGATAGTCGAAGACAGGACGATGAAGTCCCGGAAGCACAAGCAGGCTGAGGAAGAGTGTGCAGCTACATACAGCTAGACGCCGCCGAGTGCGTAGGGAAAGTGAAGTGTTCGTATGCAGGCAGGTGTGTAGGTATGTCAAAGGCCGAGCCAGCGAGCGGGAGGAGGGGCTTGAGCAAAAGAACCGGACAGGTTCCTGCCTGCTTCCGCGTCCATGTCAGAACCAGAGTCAGCCGAGGGGGGACAACGGGTGGTGAGTGACTTTGGGTGACTCGCTACCTGTTGTTGTCTGTGTGCCGCGGTGGCAGTAGGTACTGCGTGGGTATGTGTGTGGGAGCGAGTGAGCGTGCGCGTGTGTGTGCGTGTGTGTGGTGGTGGTAGTGGTGGTGGTGCATGGATGCGCGTGTTCGATGAGCTGGACTGCGACCTCGAGGCCGAACTCCAGCCGGACGTGGGTGGTTATGCTCCAGTCCAGCACAGCACAGCTCAGAGGATGGGGGATGGTTGCACCCACCTGAATAAACCTGAAGGACAAGTGAGAGTGAACCCTTCACATCCACAGAGGCATCCACACGTCCCCAAGGCTAAGCATGCCATCCCATGGCATCCCACACCCCCGGCGTCGAGTCCCGGATCCTTGTCCTTGAAGCGTCTTTGCGTCCCTGGGTTTGGACGACGCCCCCCTGTCAACCGGTGGCACACTAAAAAAGTTTGGGCTCAAGTCCCCTGTTGTGGGCTGAAGATAGCCCGGTAGGCGTCAACGAGGCCTCTGGCAGATAGATGATGGGAAAGTAGAGCAGAGGGGCAAGTACCGTCAGTGAGTGACAGATACAGACAGTGCATCGTATGGTGGCTAGGCTGGACGACAGGGCGGTGTTTTGACTGACGGACAAAAGGGGTGAGGGCGAGACATTGCAGGTTGACAAGTCACGACGGCGCCGGCCGGGCGAAGGGCAGCAACCGACAGAGCGGGCAGTGATTAAACTGGGTAGTGGGACAAGGCGAGGGCGAAGCAGCAGCCTTGCCATGACGATATCATGGGGGGGAGTCTAAAGGCAAGGCAGTACTGTGTGGAATATTCGTAACAAGGGACGGAATGTGAGTCGATAGAATTGAAG